ATATATATATATATATAGTCTTTTTTTTTTTCAGGTGAACCTGGGAAATATTGTTCTCCAGAGTCCTTCTCAGGGAGCCATGGCATCCTTAAGACAGTGAAGGCTCTGAGAAGTCCTGCAGTGAAGATCCTTTTTCACCATGATCTCAAGCTGAGTTTCTGCAAAGGGGCCACAGCACAGTTTTATCCTTCTGGTATTAACATGCTGAGGAACCCGTGATCCATTTCACACTTCAGGAAAGGCCATCTACGTCATTAGTAGACTTAAGCAACACAGCTCAAAGGTCAAAATTTACACGGAGTACCTTTACACTATCCTTTTAAAATATCCAACTGATCTTTGGTTTCAAAGGAACCAATTTGACAGGTCTTACCTAAAAACGAAGTCGGATTTGTCTATTTCGGCTCCACAAAGAGACTTATTCAGAATCCCCCCGTTTCCAACCACGGCACACCGATTATAAGGGTGCTCCATAAAAGGCTGAGACTATCAGGAGAAAGTGAAATATCTTTAGTTTCAGAACCATAACCATCACCGCTTAATTCCAGCAGCTTAATATTTAGACATGCTAAGGAAAGAAAAAAAGCGAGGAAAAAAAGCAGAAGTAGCAATGCTGATCAACTATGACTTAAAATATGCTGTAAACTTATACTATACCTCTCATTTCTCTTGAGAGGAATAGACAGTGTATCGAATACCATATAATGTAGTAATATAAAATATAATACATTTGCTCATAAAATATAACTTACTGTATTTTACACCACGTAATTAAGTAAATAACATTAGAATGGCAAAATCCCACATTGGGCCTTTCCAACAAACAGGAACATTTTCAGCAAAATGGAGGAAATAAAGCAATTAGAAAGTATCATTAAATCCTCTATTCTCGGGCATAAAATTAATAGCTAATTTAGCAGAAGTTTCCCGTGCTTCTTAAATAGTTAGACCTTCAGGCTCAGTGCTGACATAAGATTGATGCCTGCCATCTCTCCACAAATGACCAGCCGCGGTTCTTTAGGGAGGCCCTACTGACTCTGTGCTGACATATTTCAAATTAATTTCCAAGGCCTGAATCTTTTATATTTCCTCCTAGGACCGGACTTGCCGACTCCAAAAGACGTCCCCCTTTTACCATATCCTTCCCAGTCGGAAACCTAACTTCTCGAGTCAACAGCACGCTTTCCCCTTCCTGGTCGCTTTCCCTGAAAGAACGATGTGACCTTGGGCAGCACGAAGGACGGCAGCTCAGACACATGGTCCTCGTTTACCAGTTTTGTCTTCAGAATTCAGGTGGAGGTCTTCAAGGGCACAGAGGGTGTTTCTGACATTTAGCTTTCCCTCTTCTGTCACCACAGACCTCGCACAATGCAATGGACACGGTGATTTTACCGTAAGTGCGGGCTGGCTCAATGGCCTGCCCTCGTGCAGCCTCCAGCCTTGTGCTGGGGCGCACCTGCACCAGCGGGTGGGAGCCAACTGGTAAATATTCAGGAATTGTGTGCACTGTTGTTAAACCACGGGTAAATATGGGGGGCCTGGGTGGCTTAGTCAGTTGAGGGTCCAACTCTTAATTTCAACTCAGGTCATGATCCCAGGGTTGCGGGATTGAACCCCGTCCCGTGTCAGTCTTCAAGAATGTGGAGGAGCTTAAGATTCTCTCTCTCTCCCTCTGATCATCTCCCCTGCTCACGCACTCTTACTTTATAAAAGAAATAAAACAATAATAATAGTAATAATAATAATAATAATAATAATAATAATAAACATTGGTAAATTTAAATCGGCCACAGTGGGGGTACTTACACCACCAAAATCGGCCAACGCTACAAATCAGGGCACCCTACTTCCCAAAAACAGTTTACCAGTACCAATGGCAACACCTCAGGGCCAACGGGGTTCTCAGAAGCCCAAAGGAACCCACGAATCCTTATGACTGTGATGTGCTCCTGACGCTCTACCTGGGGGATGCCAAACAAGCAAAGAAAACCCTACTTCGGTACTAGGTTTGTCTCTAGCAACTAAAAATCACATGGTGCATATTATACAAGAGACACTGATCCAAGTGCAAAACTTATTAATGCATGTAATCCAAACAACAACCTCAGCGTTTTACAGACAGGAGATAAAGGCATGGGTTTAAGTAACAGCTAGCAGGTGCGAGAGGTGGGATTCAAACCCTTGAAAGAGTCCACGCTCTCATTCACAACACATTACACAGCTTCTCATATTCAATGAATAAAATGTTAATTTAATTATGTATCCGATTCCTCTTTGTATCTGCAACGCCCAGCGGTACCTGGCTCTTAAATTAATGGTTCCCAAATACCTCAGGGTATTTGAAGTTCACTGCACTGCTAGCTCAAGGTGTCTTCCAACCGTGTTCACTCAACACGACCACAATAAATTCTGAATTCCATACACTGGGTAGAATGCAAATATTCTCTAAATGGTACAACAGAAAAGATTACTGAAGGAAACATCATCTCCAATTAAGCACACGAAACAATATTTTTCTCTGGCTTCTCGGTCAACTGGGTGAAAAAGCCCATATGCTTTGGGATCTCACATTCGGCATGCGTTCACATGAATTACAAACTCCAATGGTTCTTAAAAGAAAGCTCCCAAGAAAATGGAAAAAATTTGTGCCACGCTGAGCAATGCCTGCTCATTGCTCACCCTGGTTGAAAACCAACTTTGTTTTCTTTTTAAATAACTTAGCAAAAGTGTTTGGAGGAAATGACTTCACGACATTCATCAAAAGTATCTATTGTCACCTTCTCGCTGCATGTTCCACAGTGTTCCAGAGTGCACTGTGGCAGAGGAGAGCACCGGGGTGGGGTATGCGGGGAGCAGGGTGAGGAGGAGGTCAGCTCCCTCACATGCCTCATCCATGGAAAGGGAGTGGCCTAGCTTTGCAAGCCTTACTGTACTGACTTCAGAATTCCCTCCCCCTAATTCTGAAAACTCGGTGTAAATTTGGAAAATGGATGCTGTTATTATTAATTGCACACAGAATTATCAAGTTTCGGTTAAGTTATTCTTTTCAAGGTGACAATTAGAAGCAAAAAAAAAAAATACCTGCTGCTTCTCTATTCTAGTCAGTCTAAAGCAAGGAAAACACTAGAAAGAGTTGCTCATTATGAAACTCTCCCAGGCCATCCTTGATAAGGAATAGAAATATTCTTTACTTATTATCTTTTTAATTATTGGTAATTTCAATGGATCATGAGGGCATTTTTAGAACGCTTTGAGTTATTTTTGGTCCCCCTTTCCTCCCAGAAAATTTGCAATATTTATTCTCTATCATTTGCTATTCAGTTCTCAATCATTCCCAGCAAATTCGTCTTCCTTTGAATTATAATATCAAAAGAAAATCTGGAACAACTTGCATGACCAAAAAATTAGTTGTAAGAGGTCAAAGTTCTAACAAAAGGGAATTAATGGCAAGAACTGAATATTCTACAGTTGGTAAAGTCATCCCATGTTTGACCACATTGCCTTAGCTTAACTGCTTTTAATCAAATCGTGAAAAGATGCCCGAGAGTGTGTGTTTATGAGCAACAGGATGTTCTTCAGGACAAAAATTTTCCCCAAGTTCGGGTTTATATTCAAGGAGAAGTTTCCTCTTACGATGACACTGTGCCATTACTCACTAGTTTATTTAATGAATACATAATGAACGCATATATATGCACTGGGAAATGTTCCGGAGCTTGGGATACATCAATGAACACACTACCCAGAAATCTCTGTCTTGTGAGGTTATGATCGTTGACCGCAAATCCTTAACATATTTACTTCCCAAAGACTAGCCACTAAACCCACAGTTCTTTGTGGATGAATTGATTCAGTCACCAAAACTGACAACTGGATGAATCTCATTCCAGGTGAAAAACGGTCCTCTTCCCAAGCCCCAGTAATTACTGTGCACAAAGCCCAAATACCTCATCTCATTCAAGGATGAGTCATGAAGGACTCAAGGACTCGGAGAGCTTATCATGTAAGATATAAATACATTCCCCACAGAGCTACTTGCATTCAAAATTGCCTTTCTATTTATTTATTTTTTAGGGAGATTGAGCGAGTATGAGCAGGGGAGGGGCAGAGAGAGACAGAAAGAGACAGAGAGAAAGAATCTCAAGTAGGCTCCACACTCAGTGCAGAGCCCAATGGGGGGTTTGATCCCACGACTCTGGGATCATGACCTGAGCCCAAATCAAGACTCGGACGCTCAACTGACTGAGCCACCCAGGCGCCCCCCCAAAAGTGCCTTTTTAAAATGGACCCCTACAAACATCTTACACAACAAAACCGCATACGGTATTTTAATTCTAAGTTAACCCCTCTATTTGTCTAAGTTACAACATAAAGTGAGAGGAAAGTCACCTGGAATGGTGACACAAATAAACCACAACAAGCCCTTACTCACCACTGGAAACATGTTAAAAATGTTCTCTCTAATTAGGATTTCATTTTTGCTTTCCACCTCGTAACTCATGTTGGTCCCAGCTGGAGTGTTATTCTGAGAAACAATGAAGTTTTGGGCAGCATCACAACAGGAGGCAAGTTTTGCTCTGCAAAGGATAAGAAAAAAAGCGAACCAAGGAATGAGATAAAAAAAACCGGAAACAGAGGCTACAATGGAAAATGCAAGAGGGTTCTGCCATAGTGACTCTCAGGAAGAAGAGGCATCATTCACAGTGACATGTTCATCTCATTGCGTCCCAACTGGCCTGGATGGTGAAATGGTGGCCTGGCCGGAAAAAAGGGCAAAGAATGTAAAACATACATTCAGGTAGGGACCCTCTCACCAGCAGAAAATACTCGTTGACATAACAGTTCACATATACAAATGTATGCCTAAGCTCCCGGCTGGGGGCACCGGTGGGGAAAGCCTGGGGGTCGGCGCCCCCCTCCTGGGCAGCAGCGACTCCTCCACCCTGCTCCAGGCCGAGGCGCTGGATCTGGACGAGGACGAGGACGACCTGGAGGTGTTCAGTAAGGATGCCTCATTGATGGACATGAATTCCTTCAGCCCTATGATGGCAGATCTTTTCATTACAGTTGACGAACCCAAAAGCCACGTTACCATAACTGAACCTTTCATTACTTACAGGATTACTACTAAGACATCTCGTGGGGAATTTGACTCCAGCGAATTTGAAGTTAGGAGACGTTATCAAGATTTCGCCTGTTTCCGATTCTGTGTCTCCCTCTCTCTCTGCCCCTCCCCCGTTCATGCTCTGTCTCTCTCTGTCCCAAAAATAAATAAACGTTGAAAAAAAAAAAA